GGAAAACAATTATTTTTTGCCCCGTGCTCAGAACCCTGAATTCCTCATAAATATATCATAAAAGTGTTCGAGTTCTCGAAAAATGTGCGATTTCACTATCATACGTGCCTATTATAACACAATAGTTGAAAGACAACATTTTCTACTTTAGTGGGAGGGGCTCATTAGTCAATGCATTCATTTTAGAAGACAGAAGGAAAGGATAGGGAAAAAATGATGATGAAAGCATTAATAGCCTGTGGTAAATGGCATTGAAAATGCATCTCAAAATTGTTTTTCTTCATTTTTTTCTTTCTTTGGCACTTCGACCCTCCAGGGATTTTGGCCCTATGTTTGTTTTATTTTTAGCCGGCTGCTTAAAGGCCGCACACTCGCCGTCTGTTCTGGAACATGGGACATTTGAGCATGGGGATCGACATTGAGCTATGAATACATTCATAACACCATGGGGATCAGCCACAGCCGCCTTTAGTGAAACCTTTAGGTGGCCGTGGATCAGCTCATCATCCGAGACTAAACATGAAAGAGTTGATGGGACAAGCCGGGGTTCACAAGCTGTTCGTGTCCCGTTGTTTGATTAAAGAACGATTTATTTAGTCGTGCACTTGACGTAAATCAGGTGTTGCGGTTTCATCCAATCGGGAACTTATATGTCGCTACAGTGACGTCACTATGGGGACGTTTAAGCTCCTGATTGGATGAAATCGTGAACAGTTAAATTATGTCAAGTGCATGGTTAAATAAATTCTATAATATGTGCTGTTACTTCCCTTCGCATACCACCAGAACAGAAAATGAATTCACACTTCATATATCCCTCAAGAAGTTCTTTGAACTTCATCCCGACTAGATGAACATAATGAGAAATCTGATGGAGCTATTAAGTTTCAATATAAGACCACAAGCCATATTACGTTTGTAAAGTTAAGCGAAAAATGAACTACGTAATTACCCAACTTATAATATTTTAAAGATTTTGCAATGGCATCCGCCTTGAATAGATCAGTAGCAACCGAAAGAGCAGTCGACCTCAAAGAATTTCAAATCAGGCAGAGAGATCTTCTGACCCTGTTACTCTGCCCCGTCGGTACTCGAACCTAGGACCTCCGTCTGCGAACCTACCTTGTAGACTCGCCTACCGTTCCCTTTCACACACATTTACTTTTTCTCCACTGCCCATAAATTTTGCAACGCAATCTTTGATACGAATTTTTAAAAACTTTAACGTAACCCTTCATATTTATTCATAACATACAGAAACAATTATACAGGTATGATAAGGGATAAGAGCGAAAATATGTAGTTTATTTGCCTTTGAAAATAGTTTCTACTACACGGGTGCGAATATTCATTATCAAATTTTACCGTAAACGCAAAGAGTTTAGACGTTACATCAATCACTAAGTGAATCAAAACTCTCTACAAACGGACTTCTTTATAAAAAAATACTCCCTCAAACGTAGCGACGACTTTTTTGTCACAGAAACGTATGAAACTAGTCGTGCTACAGTATGACAGGAACTTCCCTCTACCAGTTTTCTATTTTCTTTGGTCTCGGCTATCTAGACGAACTTGCCACATACTCTTGCCAGCTGCAATCTATCGCCACCCCAAGTAATTTTTTTTTAAAGAAATGGCGCATAATCGGTACTGTAAATTCGAAATTTAAAGCACTTTTTCATAGAAATTTTTTGTTTTCGAAAAATTGGATTAGAAGTCATTTGAATCACTTGAACTCACAAATTCAACAGTTTTTACAAATAGCTGGAACTGTCTAAACTAACGACATGTGAGATCTTTACAGAAATTACATTTATGTAATTTTTGAAGAAAAAAAAAAAACGAAATAAACTTTACTTCGTATTAAAGAGTACAATTACCACTATCCCTTTGATAAGTTTGAAGAAAATGTGGAGCCGTTTCTGAGAAACTTTATATGACATTATTTAAAACACATGAACTCATAAACAGAATAATGTGAACAAATTGCTGCTAATATAAATATTAACAACGTGAAAAAATTAATTTTTTGTATTTAAAAAAAGAATAAAGCAATATGGCATTTATACCATCTTACAGAGTGCATTTAGCTCTATTCCTACGAAAATTTCAAAGAAAAAATTTGGAGCCGTTTTTTAGAAAATCTTGTTTTATGTAAAAACGTATCTAACAGACAATTTCTTGATCCTTGGTCCTGCGGCATTACATTCTTTAAACACGAAAATAATTAAATACTATAAAAAAATTAAAAAAAACAGACGTGAACATTACGAATGTCACTGGCTTCAAATCTTTCGTAGTTTTTAATTTAATCATTAACTCGAAATATTTCGTTCAGACCCAACGGAAAAACTGGAGTTTTTAAGTGCGTACAGAGATGTCATAATCAGAGAAATTATTACAAGTGGGTCAAAGTGTGGTAATAATAATAATAATAATAATAATAATAATAATAATAATAATATGATCATGAAATCCAAATATATACGTTTTCAAGTGATGTGATTCTGATTTAATCTATCCAATTATTGTCTCTTAGATAAAAGATACGAAAAATAAATAACCACAAAATAGGCAATAAACATTAATAAGTGATATAAGAGCCCATTCTTATTTTGCATAAAATAATTTAAAATCGCCAACACCGCGCGCGTATCCATCAAGATAAATCTTATACATATAAAAAAGAGAATAATATCTAGGCCCTGAAAAAAACGCTCAAATTAATAAATATTCCAAATTAATCACCTGAATATTATTTCTGGAATTATCTTTCATATCATTCATTCAATTTTCTTCGTGGCCCGTAGTTAGTCTGAAACTTGTATATATTTTATTAATTTCAACCAGAAATAACACAGAACCTATTCGTTTTTTTCAAAAACTTGTACTTGACCTTTTTTAAAGAGTCAATTTGTACAACATACTTTGCCTCAAGCAAAAATTCCAATCTCCAATTTTGTAGTTTTGAATTTTATTTTCCAATTTTCGAAAAAAAAAAACAAGCAATACCCGAAAATGAGACTAGCGCTTTATTTTTACCGTTTCTTATTACATATGTGGAGAAAATTTAAAGAAAAAATTTAGAGCAGATTTTGAGAAACTTGTTTTGTTGTAAATTTCAATTTCTTAACTATAATGTTATTCATATTCGTGGTACCAGTAACAGTACTAGTAGAATTCCTGGAGTACAAAGTAAAGCGAATAGTTTCAATACACACACACGCACGCACCCACACACATATATATATACAGACGTCAGACAGCCGTCCGCGAACTTTGTTAGAATTTTCTGAAAGAAACTTTTTCTTCAAATAAGACGCGTGAAGTTAATCGAGAATCTATCAGTTATTGTGGAGTCGAGGACAGTACAATAGGGAAATAGTTCGTGCTGAAATAAAGTCAATTTCAATCAGCGGCGAAATTTGAAAGTTCGAGCGGGGACTACGCGTACGCACACGAGTTCTTCATTGCGGTGCAAAGAGTATTCGTACGCGGGCGCAAACCTAACGTCGAGGGGAACGAAGTGGACGAGGGCGAAAGGCGCCGGGTGAAGAAAACGCGGACGAAAGGCGCCGGAAGAACAAGACTGGAAGACGAGGCAAGAGGGCAGCGAGAAGTCACCGGCGATCAGGGGCCCCGATCGGCTGCGCGGAGGCCGAATGCAACGGGTGAGACCGAGTCTCCGCGGCGTCAGAGCGCGTCAAGGTCGAGCGTTGGAGCACGGAGGGCGAAGCTGTGGGAGGTAACGGCGCGAAAGCGCCGAAAATTAGGTCAGTCACCTTGACCAGGGAGGACTTGTTAACCGGGAAATAAGCATACAGGACGCATCTGAGTATCATTCAGAGATTCTTGCCATTTGAAAAGCACCTTTGCCTACGAAATTGTAAATAGATTAATATTAATTTATGTTGTTCGCGGCCAAAGCGACATTGTTGTAGAGTGTGGCGCATCTGCGCACGTTTTTTTATAAAAATGTTTTCTAAATGGAGTGTTAAATCGTGTATTGTGTCATTGACTAATGTATATATGAATTGTAACAAATTTAATTAGTAACAGTAAGAAAGGAAATACGCAGGGATAAATTATGCAAAGATTTTGATGATTAATTCATGTCTCATTGAGAGAGGATATCAATTTTTGTACTATCGAGTTTCATTTTTGATTTTGATGTGATTTGTAAGCAACGAAAAGGATTTTAAGATTATTAAACCCTGTTTAACAGATTTATGTTCTTGTTTTTGAATTTGCTCTCAACAGCTCAAAAGATCCCATTGCCCTGAGGAACTGAAGCTCGCAAGAGCATATCTGCGAGGTCCCATCAGGTGATTTTGGAAATTACTAGCAGGGGCTTTTGTGGTGATTATTCCTCTAGATGTTCCTGATCAATCCATCTTTTGTTGGGTCTTTCAATATATTTTTTACCCTATGAGTTTATACTTTAAAACCGTCACTACAAACTGTAAGAAATCTTTTCACTGGCATTCTTCGCACAAATGAAAGCCATTTTCTCTGGTTCTCTTCAATGTCATCTACTATATTTATAGGTTTTTTTTCTTCTAATTTCAGTGTTCTTTGTCATTCTTAATGTGTGATTCCTACCAGATGCCAGAAAAATCACACTTGTGTGGCTTCTAATCACTGACAGTCTCTCTGTTGTAGGGTCCATATTTCTGATCCTTTCATTAACATTGGCTTAGATGTTATGTTGTGTACTCGCAGTTTTGTCTCTGCTGTCATATCTCTTCCAAAGCTCTTCTTGATTATTCCATTTACCCCAAAATAGTAAATATGTGATGTTTAGTGAAAACATTTCCACTAATTTAGCAAATCAAGAGCTTTTTAAAAATTAAATATTGTCAAGTGTCATTGTAAGTGATAGGCATATACAACTTGAAATGTTATTTCATTAAAATATATGTGCAGGCAGAAATGTATATTACTAAGGAACAGACATAAGGCAAATTTTATCAAGGGTAAACAAATTGAAAAGATATACATTTTGAAGTGAGATTTTAATAAGCAAATCTGTTAACATACACAACTAAATCTAGGTAATATTACAGGTCTTTTATTATTCCTTTGTTGTAAAGGATTACAAAAAAATTAACAGTTTGCGCAGAATGAAAAATGTATGAGGGCATCTAAAAAAATACATAAACACAGAACAAAACTATCGTCTCTCATTAATTTTGTACAATATGCAATGAATAATTCATTGAGAAATGATATTCATATTATGTACAACCAGCACAATTATCTTCATACTGTCACTTCAAAGAAAAATTAACAAATTGCACGTAGGCTGTGGCAAGGACCTTAGCGACTAATACACGATACAATCATCGAGACTTACAAAATACTCTTTTCCATTAAATATTTGTGCCTCTCTCTACATTCATGATAATACTTCCCTTTTGTTTTGGAAAAATTCTTTTTTACAGAAAAGGTAGTAGTAAATGACTTTTTCGCACTTTCAATCAAGTAATTTACCAAAAAATATTTACAACAATACTTTAAATTTTTCATATACATATATCAATTGCAATCACAATTTCTTATCAGGTTTCCTTATAAGTCTTACATAAATGAAAATTAATGGACAGGATAAAATGAACATGATGAATTAAATGAATGTTAATTAACTAAAAAAATATGTACTATTATATTTATAAAGATGTATTCTTGGAATAACAACAGGACAATGAAGAAGCATAAATGGAAACCAATAATCATTCAATCAAGCTTCTTCAACTAATTACAACCACGTTGTAAAAATCAAGGGTTACAGATTGACATATCAAACTCACATATGGCACATTTATAATTAAAGATGGAATGAATAAACCCCTGAACCTTGATTTATAATGTGAATTTGATAGTTCTATCTGTATTCCTCAAAATCCACAAACATTGCTGGTTAACTGTGATTTGTATAATACAGAAAGTGATAAATTAATTTATATTATGGAGTTTAATTCCTCCTTTGAGTATATTTCTTCATTATATGTATAAATGTTTTATGCAGATAGCGTGGGTTATTTCACATGGTATTTGTAGTTTAGTCATTGGCAGTTAACTTTCAATAACCATTACCACATAGCTTAATGTGTTGCAAATTGATCGTTAATCAGTGAAGTTAATAACGCAGAAATAGTAAACAATATGCAACTCAAAAAGGCTTATTTTATAAATATGCCGCAAAAAGTAACAACAGTAAACAATAACAAAGGTACAAAAAAAAAAATGTTGTGAATTAAAAGAAAATTCACTCATATTCTTCAAGTAGGTCCATTGTGGTATTCCACAACATATATTACGAACCAGAAATTATAAGCCACTGTAAAAAACATTCTCTGGCTTTTGGAATATATAGAAATATATAGACAGACAAAAGTTTGTCTACTTGAAAAAAAAAAAAAAAGGTGCAAATAAGGAGCACTTAACTTACTTTACAGATCAAACCTGAACACGACAGAATTATGGTGAAGTGAAAGTATGTGGAAACATTAAATACAAAATAGAGGTACAAAAACAAATAGCATATTTCACAGCAGACTTTTAACATAAAAATTGACAATTAATTTCTTCTTTGAAAAGTAAAGAGCTCTGTTAAATACAAAAAAACAAAAAATAAAATATTGTGACTTTTTAAGGCCTATATTTACTGTCAATCCATCTACCATAAAAAATTAGTCAGTCTGAATGGATGAATTGGAAGTGAAATAATAGGCCTTAGAAGAATCGACAACATTGCTTACATTAAAGACGGAATGGTTGTTTTTGTTGTTCTGTTGGAGTTGTTGACTTGGAGCCTTTGCGAGACAAGCCAGTAGATGTGTCTGACGCCCCTGATGTTTTCCTCGTCACTTTGGCTCCATTCGGAATTGGTGTGCTAGAGCCGGAGGGTGTGCGAGCCCTAACAAAAAAGTTAGTGTCAAATCAAGTCATATACAAGACACAAAATACACAAAAGAACAAACCACAAGAAGTCTTAAAAAATATTTCACGTCTCATTATAAGCAACTACATAGGGCGATATTGAGATTTGTTAATGAGCATTAAGCTAAGCATTGTACAAAGAATAATATAATAGCAGAAGTAGCTTGAAATTTACCTAGAGGCTCCCCTGACTAGAACAGGGATGTTAGAAGCTGACGATGTCTGAACTGATGATCGGCTGCATTAGCAAAAGAAAGAGTTGTTAATAGGAAAATAGAAATTAGTGCATCCCACAAATTCACACACACACACACACAGTAGCTATTAAGCAGTAAAGCAAAGAAATTAAACATAATCAAGAAAATAGCCGTTAGAAAGTGCTTAACAGAACTGTTATTTAAGCAAAAAGAAAGTTACCCAACATTCATGTCATCAACACACATTAAACTCAATTTCACTTAAGATTTTCTGTATTAATTTGTATGTGAATCCTACAATCAAATTTTAATAAATGAGGTAATTCACAACTGATTTAACTTTTTGTAACATTTCTAAACAATAAAATTGAAAAAATTCCTCAAACTACTAATGAGAGTTTTCACTTTTAGTTATTTATAGGCCTAGTACAATTTTACAAAATAATAATACTTACTTACAGAAGATCATGAATGTTGGACTTATATTGAATGACAATTAAACATTCACTGTTTACTGAATGTCAAAATTATACATAATAATAAAAAAAGTTACATCAATAGTGCCGAAACAATAGATGTGAATTTAATCTCAATGCAACTACTATGAAAGTTGCCATTCACTATCTTTAACATTTCCTTGAATAGCAATATTCTTAACAAAATGCCACAGTAACATAAACCATAAGCAAAAAGTAATTTCTTCTTCATGCACAAACCAAGTTATTCATTTTAACCACACACTCAATGTAACATACTGAAGCCAAAACCACAATGAAGGCCAGAAGAGCACATTACCCTGAGGAAGTACAAGAAGGAGAAGTAACTTGGGACTCTGGAGAGCCCACAAATACTGGAATCCTTGACCGACTGTGAGAGAAACAGTGAAGAGAAATAGTTAATTGAAGAGCACGTTCAAGCATTCAAAGGATAGTTGTTGTTCAAGGTAAAAGAAAAAATATTTAATATTATGAAAAAATTGTTTCAAAATGTGATCTTTGAAAGCATTCATTAAAACAGGTGTGCAAGTATTTGGAGCAAATGTACAGCATCGGATCAGATGAACATCTGTCATATATTTGGGCAACTGCTGGCAGATGTGAACTGTGTAAGTTACACTTTCTATTCATGTTGGGTTATCAACACTTTGAACTGTAAAATTTGAAGTTCTGTAGCAGCCATTGCATAATTTTTGTCCATATCATGCATTAGTAATTGACTTTTATTCTATATTTTTAAACTGCCACAATCATTATATTCAATCTTGCAGAAATGCTTGTTGGATGTTTGACAAAGACTTTCAATTGCAATTTTAAGTAGTAATAGCTGTTTTGAAATACAATGTTTTTAATGTGAAACCACAATTAATTTTACAACAAACTTCTAAACTCTACCATCACACAATCAAAACACGGAAACCTTTAAACAAAAAACATTTAAGCTCGCTTTGTTTGAATTAATTCCAGTGTCTAGACAAGTCAAGATACATTTAACCCTAGCAAAACCAACACACACGTGGTTCCATGCATTACGGAGAAAAGGGGAGAGGCTCGAAACTCAGCTGAAATTTTGATTCTATTGAAGAATTAGGCAATTTCACTAAATTCAATTGTATTTAATCAAATTTAATTATGTGAAATATATTTAATTACATTATATGAAGACATAGCAAATCATTGTGAAAAAATGACATCATATATTGAAATAAAACCACATTATAAACAATACCAATGATTCCACTTCCTAAATGAATGAAAAATGTAAAAATAAAATAATCTGAGCCCCCCCCACACACACACACACACCCAACGCTAGGGCTAAACAAACTATTTTTTTTACAATAAAGTCATATTCTTTAAGTTTATGAAAAGTTCATTGACTTTAATCATCTCGACCATTACATAGGAAACGGATTCATAAGTAACTGTACATTTTTAAACAATATATATCTACATTATTTGGGTTTGAAATATAACACTATGCTTTACATCTTCAGTCCTTTTGTTTTGGATTGTCAAACATACTTCCAGTTTCTGGGAAATCCTGTACTCAGAATCAAGGATGAGTGAATGACTGGGAAGCACAAGTAATCACTATTATGGGCTTGATCCCCACCCCTCTTCAATCCATCACTGGCTACGAGGTATGGCTAGTCATGAATGCTCCAGCTATTTCGCAACAATATAACTACATATGTATTTTATATTTCGTATAAAACTCATGTAGTGTGATGCTGACTACTGTGCAATTGTTTCTTTAGATGTAGAACAGCCATTCAGCCACAATGAATCCCTGATTGGTGAAGTTTTATGTTAAAAAATTTGAAAATGCTTTTATAGAGCTATTTTACACAGTATCATAAATCTGTACTTTACATTCTTCCTATTTTTTCTAACATACTTTGGAATAATATAAATAGTCCACATTTGTGAATTATTATGAGGGTTTTTTTCTGTTCCCTATAGAAAAATAATTATTCTGTACTATATCTACATCACCCAACACCATTCTTATCATGACTTATCACAACACAAATCTTATCATGCAAACATGCAAAGTTATTTACATTTTTAACATTCAAAAATTACAAAAAAATAAAAAAACAAAACAAAACTATATAATTGAAAAGAGTAAGGTCTCAAAAATGAAAGTAGTGTGTTAAAGAAAGATGAAGTAATAATGTGACAATATCAACTAAATATGAAAGAAATCCTGAAAATAAGACAATGCAATAGAAAACAATGTCAAATGGAAAATTCAACAACAGAAATGGGGAAAGACATCCATGTGCAATACAACATAGAGAAGGGTTTATTTTTACCCTGAAGAAGTAGAAGGAGGAGAAGTAACTTGTGAATCAGGAGATCCAACAAAAACTGGTATCCTTGATCGACTGCCACAAATTGAAAGAATCATTGTTAACTAATTAAAAATATTATAATCCATTTATGTAAATTATAGTGATTAAAAACAAATACAGATTCAAATGTTAAATAAGTTTTAAAATGTTCCAGACAAAGTAAAACACATTTTATCATTTTTACAAATACTGGATCATTAGCATTTCCCTTTAGAAAATTCTTAAAACACAAAATTGACCAAAACTGACTGTCGGACTAGTCCATGTTAATAGTATGTAGGTTCTATAATATGATTTGTAACTTTGTTTACTGGGGTTATTACATCATATTTTAATCAAATATCATTGGCAGCATGTAAGGAAACACTTCAACTCTTTACTCTTAGAAAACAAAAACTGTTAAAAAAAAATTAGCTGTCCAAAATAATAACTCTGAACTCTGAAGTGAACTCTTTTTAGCACCCTTTTTTATTTATTTACACTTCTCCAAATTTCACATTACAGTCTATAAAAGCTATGACTTAAGAGTTGGATAAAGGCATTCCTGATAAAACAAACATGAATAATTGAATCACATGTGGAAATTATTAGTGAAAAAATGTAGCTTTCAATGTCTATTTTCTATTTACAATAATGTACAACACAACAAATAAACAGTATTTTAATAATGGAACATTGAGACATTCTCCAGTCTCCCAAAACCATCACAAGAAATTCTCCACAAATATCATAATTACATTCAAGAGCATCAAGTTGTTTTGGCTTCCAGACCATCACCTCAACAAGTGCAACGAGTTAATAAAAGCAATGAACACCTTTCTCAATTAAGCAGTTAATATTTCCCCTCTAATTTGCAAATAAATATTAGCAAGTTACCATCTGTTGCAAAACAAATTAGTACCAGGACCCAAGCACTAAAAAACAGTGAAATTTATTAGCAGGTATTTGTGATAAATGGTATTTACCTAGTGCCAACACCAAATAGCGTTGGTATACTCGATGCTCGGTGAATAGATCCTAACCTAAAAATGCAGTTATTGCAATATTTAATATCATTAGTTAAGTTATTTGTATATTAATAGATCTGAATTTTATCATTCTGATGCAATATTATATAGAATAATTATGAAATAATTTTAGTAGACCGAAGAGGTGAATAGTTCAAAATAAGAAAGCAAAAAAATAATATGGAACTGCCCATAAACGTATTAGGAGTGCTTTATCATGTTATTTTAAGTTCTATGAACTAAGAAATGGAATTATTGTTTCTATAGATTACTGATTATTTTTTGTATACTTTTAGTAATGTACCTTCCACCACAGTAGTAACGGTATTATATTTTGAACATGCATTTCATTCACATATTAGAATTAAAAATATTATCTTTTATCAAAAAAAAAAACTTCAGTTCTCAACGATTTCTTTCTTCCTTTCTTTTTATTTTTTGGACACTAACAGCCTCAACAACTTCATTGACAATCAGACAATAAAGCAAAAACTGTAAGAGATTTGCCCTATTTATGGAAATGTTTAGAACAGAGACCATTTCACAAAATTTCAATGTAGGCCTTTTTCAGACTTACATTGACATCTAATGTTAAAACTTCATTAAAACAATTTTCACAGACAACACATTCAAATAGAAAATAAAATAAAAGGTTGTAATAAATATTAATAAAAGTACCTGCATCAAGATTAAAAATAAAAATAACAACAATGAAAAGGTGTCATTAGGCATGTCTTTGAATTTCTTTCGACAATAAATTCTGAAGTCGTAATACCTTACCAGAATGAATATTACTGAACTGAACTGTCAATCGTATTTTTATTATTTTCACTCTTTCAAGACCTTTCCATGTAAATTATATTTCTCCAGTGCCAATTAGCTTTTGGTTAATAGTGAATGCCACTATATATACATTCATCTATTCCCTACTAAAAACTAAATAAAGAGGTCCTACCTTGAAGTGGAGGAACCACTTGCAGGACTAATAAGCCCTGTAGGTGTCCTTGGACGACCTGTCGGTGTTCCATTAACAGGTACTGTCAATTTTCGAGCAGTCGTGCCAGTTGTGCTACCACGGCTTGGGGTTGCACTGCTGGACGGCGTGGTGCGCCTATGTATCGGAATGCGGCTTGGTGTGGAATCATCTGAAAGGTCAACACAAGGCAAAAGTTGCAATAGGTTGTTGAAATTGTCTTTTTGTTTTACCTCCTGGGTGTGATAAGGCAAGAAACTTTAAGTAACATAAGAAGAGGTGTAATAGAAATAGTGTCATTAATTAACAAAATGCAGCAGGAGACCACTATTTAAAAAAAATTTGGTCATTAGCAGTCAGTGCAATACAACTTTTTCCTAACGGTTATTTAGAAAAATATTATATTTTAATAGTATGCATTTACATGATTTTACAATTTCAGACAACTTCATTAAACAAATATTTGTTAAATAAAAAACAAAAACATTTTCATTGAGGTATCTTTTTAAATTAAGTACAATTTAATGGTTCAAGATAAAAACACAACAAGAGGTACTGTTACTATATTAGGTGAATCAAAAAATTAAATAATTTCCACACCCTAAAGAATGCCACCTAATGGAAGACATCGTCATCAGTGAAATTGAAAGACTAGTTTAATATCAGCAAGATACTAGAGTGAGTAGAACACGAAAACTACATACATATTTGACACAATAGAGTGTTAATATCCAACTTAATTCATCAGTACAACTTATTTCATTTAACCACAAATTATAAATTTGCTGAAATGAACTCTTTATTTAAATTATGTGCCTCAAGGCTTAATCATCTTGTTATCATAAAAATAAACTTTTCCTTTACTTAAGTTCTTCATTATATCTGTTACTAAACAATTGTTTATTGATCTATTGGTGTTAGCTTTAGCCAATGGAACTACCCAGGTGTTTGATGAAAACAGACATTCTTACAATTTATTTTGTTCTTCTAAAGGTTTTCCATGCTTATTTTTTTTATTACCATTTTATTTCATGAAGAAATTTGTGAAGCCTGCATTTGCTCACCTGTGCTGTCGAGTGACAGGGTGGAGCCATGACGGCTAGGTGGTTTGCTGCCCTGGCGACTAGGTGGCCTGCTGCCCTGGCGACTACCAGGCCGACTACCAGCCTTACTGCCTGGAAGGCTGCCTCCTGGATTATGAGAAAATAATTGTCAGTTAAATAGAATGTGTGCCATTTGTTTTTTGAATCAATTGGTATCAACCAGTAGCCTTCTGCTATATAAAAGAGTTTTGGAAAATAACTTCAATTTAAATCAACAAATGTCCCCTGTAAGGAAATCAAGATTTACTACAAATTTCAGTTATAAAAAATTTCAAATAGAACCATATAACCTTTTCAGACCAGCTTTATTGCCAGTTCCTTTCCATACTTCAATCCAACCACAGATAGTATAAAACATAAGTAATTATTCTAAATTGGCTGGACCTTATTGAAGATATCACCTTATAAAACTAAAACTGTTTTATTAACTGATTTCCCAAATGAATGATTGTGAATGAGTGATATTAATAATGTACAAGTCCTGAGTAAGTTTTGTTTTAGATTATATATAATCCTGTATCTTGTCTACACCATCAGATTTTATAATTAATTAGTTAACAGCTGTTTCAACAGTTTTGTTAAACAATCATCCTCTCTAAAAGTAAAACACTACAAGATATTTCATCAAGGATCGGAAATAACCTATAATAATGTTATTTCATGTTTTGAAAATAAATAAATAAATAAATAAATAAATAAATAAATAAATAAAACTTAAAAAATGTTCTTTTCTACTTTGTTTAATTTTGTGATCACAATGAAACACAAAAAAAATACAAAGTCACTTAAAAATTAACTGATAGTATCTAAATACAAAGTGACTGTTGCCACAGCACTAAACTCCCAATTTAACCATTCAAATTTAAAACCAGAATATTTTCATACCTGGGGTAAGGGTGGACCTTGGAGGGGCAGATGCCTTCCGCAATGTTCGAGGAAGTGTGCTCTCGTTGTCGCTCAGTGAGTCTGGAGTCCTTGTTCCAGAGAATGATGATCGTCCAGTGTTACGTCCCATAGGAACGCTGCGAGCACTTCTTTCTCGAACCTAGGTAGAGAATTGCTAAGTTAATACAATGCCATGGGAATGGGTGAGAGTTAAATATACAAATTTTGAATACTTAAAACCAGAACACAAAAAATTTATGCAAAAATGTTTAAGAAGTAAAGCTTAATGAGCAAGCTGCACATTAAAATATAAAAAAGCTATACTACTCCTTCCTAAATTTTATATTTTAATTTTTGATTAACTTTAAAAAATTCAAAAAATACCAATCGAAAAAAATAATATTTAAAAAGCACAATGTACTTTTTTTATTGCTTGTGATATTGTAAATCCAGATCAATAAGTATAAAAGATTAAAAGCAAGCTAACTTCTTCATGAAATTTATGATTTCAGAAACCTAAAATCTAAGAAAGTTCAAATACATTTGTGAGATCCTACAGTGAACTTTCTATACTAGGCAGCATGCATTCTCTAGTGCAATATTAGTTTCTTTATGGTCCATATCAGAAATCTTAATTTTAAGTGCACATACAGCTGGATCTATGAAGAAAGATTTTCCAAAATTTCAAAAGTACATTACTATTCCAAAAGAAATTATGTTAAATAACTTTTATGTAAATCCACAGATCCAGAGGTATCTTAAAAAGCTTGTAAATAAATCAGCACACATGTTAGAGATCGTGCTCACAAGAAACATTGCACATTTTACATAAAAAACATTTACGGTAACACCTCATTGTATAATTGCTGTCAGTAAGTCTGGCAATAGTAATAACTGGTTTGTATGACGAAACATCAATTTTTTAACTCATTACAAAAAATTGTAATCATGTCCATAATAAAATGATATCCCAACCAATGTCATACTATTGCAGACTAACTACCAAGTTAATGTTATGTGGCCGAGATTATTTTAGAAAATTTGGTTAAATTTTGTGTTTAGTATTTTATACAGTTAAATATCAATGGAATCACACTTTTGTTAGACAAGTAAAACTCACCAGGACCACTTGGGACAACATGTGCTGACCATCCAATGGCGTGAATTCCACAACTGACAGAATCAAGTGGGAGATTAAATTCATGAAATTTCTCTTTGGATTATGATTTTCTACTTACCAGCTCAAGAAGGTGAAGGACTAATAATAAATATTCTAATATGTTAACAACTAGAAATCTCCTAAAGAAAAGAATTTCGAACAAGAAATCATAACATATGAAAAAATAAACAGAAAATTAAAAAGTTCAAAAGCAAAATGGCTCAACAAAATAAGTGACTCTTCTAGCATATGCCTTGCATTTGATAATAATTAGTTCAATCCTGCTGATGAATTCTCTAAATGAAAAGCGATTGGCCACCCGGAAAGAAGCTCTAGCTAACTGATGATCTCTACATATGACAATGGTTAACATCAATCCACACTAACAGAACATTCTTGACATATTGTCACACACGAACAAGGACAAATTACAGAATGTTAAAGCTTGACATATCTATTGACCAGGATTTTAAAACACGTTACCCTCTCTGTGTCGGGAATATGAAGTGTTCAATATTATATATATTACTTCTACAAGCACCAATTGAAGATTAATATGACAACTATACTACTGCACTGTACCAAACAGTAAAATATGGTGCATGGAGAGAAGCTGACTTGCACTACACAAAATATAAATCTTACCTATGGAACACCTCAAGAGTCAAATTATTCTCATCATTTTATCTAAGCAAAATTACTTTTCTTCTATTAATAAAAAGTGAAAATATAAAACTTATCTGATTCCAAGGTAATAGCAGTGCTACTTGGTGCCACAGATTCTCATAACTACTTTCAAGTACGTACATCTCATATAGGTGTCTTGGCATTAGACACTGTTAGAACACAAGTGTTCTCTCAAACAACCAAAGGACTGAATTACCACATCACCACATAACATGAACCAATCCTTACACACAAACACAACACTTGGAATAGAACATTGTCAAATGCAAAGTCATCACAGAAGCAAATAAGGGAAGCTTATCACAGAAATTAAGATCACATCACACCAGTTATACAATGTATTTAACCAATGCTTCCACTTGCACCAAGAACTGTCTAAGCTCCCTCTCTTTGTCATTACTGTATGTTTAAACTAAATGGTGTTTTTGATCATGTTCTTAAGATTTATACTTGCTGAATGTATACTTTGTATGTAATTACTTTGAATGTTACTATTTGATCCTAGACACTCAACATCTTAACTGATGTTTAATTACAGGTATAAAAGAAGTGTTTGATAAGAGGATGAGTATTTGAAATGTTATAGTAATATGCAAGTGCTGTGAAGTGCAGCTACAGGAAACAACCAGGATTCTTTGTGGTAACGATAAATGCAAAGCATTTTGGAAGGGATCCCAAAAAAATATGAACTGACAGTTTCTGAGTAAATAACTTTCCAGAAATATTGCTGTCCTACTTATTCTAAATGAAAATAAATTTTAAATTCTGAAATATTTTCAAATAAAGCATTGAATTGCAAGAAACATAGATTACAACTGTTTGAAAACTGGTTGTGGTACCCACTATGTTAGAAACATGCTATATTTGTGCTTGTTCACTAACTTGTAAATCTATATTCTGATCCATTTTCACTCTTGCTTCTTGTGTTTGCACATGAACTAAACTATCCAAGAGAGAGAATTAATTCAGATTTCTGCCACATCTCTGACAACTGACGTTAGAGTGGGCAAAAAATGCAGAAAGTATGTTTTTGTATGAAATGAATTAAGCTTTTCTGTAACTTGAAAATAATAGAGCAAATTTCTTTTAATTACTTGTTTAGAACAACAATCAACAGAAAAGAGTTTCCTAAAATAAAAAAACAAGATTGAGATTTTTAAATGGATACCTGTCAGGGATTTATAATTGTATGATACAATTTCATATCAAAACAACTACAAGTTATAATTATCTGAAATTGACAATTTTTCATTTAAAGTTATTAAGAATGTATTATTTTAGTTGCGACCGTTAAATATGTCTGCAAGACTTCCACAATGTCAGCAACTTCTTTTGTTTACGACCTGTGCAAAACAGCAGAACAGAGTGGCAAAACGCAATAATGGATCAGAAGGAGTGCTTGGCGCAAGTGGAAGGAGCAGGCTGTGAGGAGGAGGTGGCAGCGATCTTGCTGGCGAATCAGAGCAGTGAGTTATTTACCCAAACATATGTTGGCCCAGGGCCGGTGCCCATGGCGAGAGGGTAGGAACATGGAAGCTCCTCGCGTTGTCTCAGGCTCTCAAAGATTGGCTTCAGCTGATTCATAAACTCCTCGGCTGTAAGAAGTTCACACCACTGCAAATGCTAGATGCCTGCCCTTCTTTTGTGCTCCTCTAACCTCAAATGGTTCTATAGGAGACATTATCTTCTCTACACACAACGAATGGGCAAATGCCCCTACATATCAAATCAAAGTCTACAAAACTTGGTGCCATTCAAATACAATAATACTGTACTCCTGACTATATTTGTACATATAGATTACTATGTATTGGGTACTGAAAATAAATACACATGAAAGTCACACAAGGCAGATATGGTGGCTAACCACACACACTCATGCACACACTATTTTGCTTTGCATCAGTGCCTTTATAACACAGTTTCTACTAAAGAAACTATGTTATTACATGTAACAGGAGTAGTATTAATTCTACAATTATATGGATTGTATTAATTTTTTTATTTAAGAAAATAAATGATATTTCCATAACATTAAATTTTATGAATTTTATTGCATTTGCACAATGCCATATTATTAAAATGTACACTAATTTAAATGTAGGAAGAATTGACTTTCGATCAGCTGGGATGCAGTTATCCAATAGAGAGCTTCAATACAGAATACTTAAGTAGTAACAAAGCTCCTGATTGAATAACTGAGTCCCAGCTGGTCACTGTCAATTTGCCATATTTTTCAATAAGAGTACACACATGTTGGGTAGTGAAAATATAATCATACAATTATATAATGTAGTTTGTTACTTGAAATCTTGGGACAATTCAATTTTGTAGAATATTCAACAACTGTTGAGTTATTGAAAAACGTAGTTCATGAAGTCATGATACGAATAAAAATTGAATCCATAGATTCTTCTCAAGTAGATTTCATTACCATCATGAACAAATTATGAACTTGGAATAAATCTTTCACTCCCAAAGTATTTCATTGAAATAATTGCAAAATGTAAACAAATGAAAAAACTATGTCTGGAAAGATTTATTTTTTACTAAATAATACGAGAACAAAAATAATTTTAATGAAAAAGTATGAATTATCTACATATCTAAACATTCATATGATGTGACTAATGCTGACTGCACATACATTACCTTGCGTTTTTTGAAGACTTAACAACCCGAAGTCGCAGCCGAAGAAAAAGTGACAGAAATGAAAAGAAATCGTGCACCACTCACCTTGTGTAGAATTCTGAGATTCCATCACTTGAAAATGAACTTTTTTTTGCATACTTTCATATCAGCATATTGTTTTTTGCATACTATCAAAAAAATAATGTTTCAATTTTTATTTGCACACAAATGTGTATAATACCAAAAAGGGCTTATCTTGTCATTCTATTGTTTCTGATATGGAAGTATAATTAAAAACAAAAAAATAATGAAAGCAAAGTCATTTCATTCTAAAGCAATGCAAGTAATATGAAATTCAAGGACAGGGCGTGATAGTTGAATTATGAAGAAGTGACTGAAATGTGCAATATCAATTTTACATACAGACTGATTACAACTACATCTATTTTTAAATGTTTATTTAGAATATAGGAGAAAATTTAAAGAAAAAATACAGTAAAATAAGTAGAAAATTAAAAAAATATCCACACCAAAAATATGCAAGAAATTCAAGATTCATGAAATGACTTATGCTTGAAATTTGCAGAAAGAATGCCTCGTACATTTTTATACCACTTGTAATTAAGGTTTGAAGCTGATAGTATTCTAAATGTAGGGCAATTCTTTGTACATATAAACTTATAAATATAAAGGATGCACAGTTTCAATGAAGATTTTAAATTAAAAAAAAAAAGAAGAAAAAAAAAAAAGGAATGTTTGAGAAGTGCTATGGAAAAACTGGCCTTGGAAAAATGCTTCCAATAGCAATTCATGTACTCGCAAACAAGAAAATTAAACTTGGAATGTATGATGCTTAAAAAGCAGCAGTTCTTCCAAAGCACCTCTTCAAGGCATGGCAGAGAACAGGGACTGCAGTGCTCGCCACACCAAGAAAAAAGGGCAAGTGGGGGAGGACTGAGCCATGCAAGAAGTCCCAACAACAAACCTTGGTGATGGGGCCTGCAAGGGATTGCGATCGCTGAGGCGTGTTCCCTGGGCTAGGCTTCGGTTTGAACGCCGTCATGCTCTGGGATACCCCATCTGCCAAGATGAACTGTTCGCGCAGTTCGATGTTTGTACGGCCCTTGGCTTCAGTTTCCGAACCGAGTTTTCGAGCAGCACAACATTGTGTGTGATGTTGGTAGGTTGGAACCAGGACCAGAATATGTAATTCAAATAGGATTGGGAGAGGAATTTCACGTAATACGTGAAAGAGATTGGGTAGGCAAGGCAAAAAAAGAAGAGAAAAAACAAACAATAAGCAAATCAAACCAACCAAACAACTTAATACACAGGGAGACAATACAAAAATGCCTAAATTACATCTAAATAGGTTCTACCTTAAGTGATACCATATGCTGTCTCCAGCTGTACAACAGTTATTTGTTTAAACACGTACTAAGAGTTATATTACATTAAAAGGAATGCAAAAATAACAAAATTTGTAACAATGTTGAAAAATTATGCAAAGACTACCCATTGGTATCACTTCAAGATAATCCACACCAATTAGAGTGAAACCAAAAGCTGGAATGCAACAAGTGTTGGTAGCAGCTTATACCAGATTAACACACTACAAAGAAGACACTCTTAAGCCAAGCCCAAAAGCTGCTCCAGAACATATTGCAAAACAAGTAGCAGTATTAGCAATGTAAGTGATTTTTACTTTTCAAAAACAAGAGTTTACAAACATAACATGCTAAATGTATTTCTTATTCTGCAATATGCTCCAACAAATACCCCCCAAAATAAAAACCAACTCAGCAAAAGTCACCATGCTGACAAAAAACACAATGTAAATAAAAAGGGTACATAAATTAAGAAACAAAGGAGCACCACAAATGCAATTCAGAGCTTGTGCAATACCAGCAGGATGCAACAATTCCTGCAAGATCACAGTGAAACAGGGAGAAACCATTAACCTAGTGTAAGAAAAACTGGTCCTCAGTTTGCTGAATCTGAAATCTGGTGAGAACAAAAACAAATGGATCCAATATTGCAATACAAGACTTCAATTGAATGTTAGGTCATGTTATCAAATGGTTACTGATCTACAGTTAAATGTCATGAAGAATATTCTTTGAAATGTACATGCAATTTCTTCTTTAGAGAGATTAGATGGTTTGAAAAAGATTTTTTTTTTAACTTTAATTTTTTTTAATTAAAGGAACTAACAAGCAAGCAGTTAATTTTTAAATATCTTATTTATCTTATCAGCTTAAAATTGTTATTCAAATTTTGATGGTACAAAACAAATTCTAACTCCACAGGAAATAATGAAAAAGTGAAATATTAAAAATATATTTAAAAAAATTAAGTTTTATGGAATTTTAAATGTTGAAAACAAAAAAAGTACCCAGCAAGCAATTATTTTTAAGACAGAAAATCTTAACAAAACAAATTGACACTTACACAGAAAAGCATCACAAAGTACTAAACTAATAAACTAAAGAATACACACAAATTTAGAAAGCAAAATACGTGGCAGAAAATGTTTAGGGAAATATCAATACAACAACACACACTGAAAGTTAACTCAGGTCTTTTTCTTATAAAACATTTTTTGACATATTTTAGAAACATAAGCAATTTAATAAAAATAATGCAAAATTTTTGTTTTCTTACCCCAGTTATACAAAAGCTTCTCAATAATTTTATTACTTTCTCTACTTCAGTGAAAAATGTATTAATGAAAGGGGCAAAACTTTTTTTTAATGTAAAAATGATTTCACAATCTACCTACGATAAACTACAATATTAAATAATAATGATTTTAACATTGCTCCGATTTTTAATAAAACCAATTTTAAAAAAAATGTATCTCACACCAGTAACTTCAAAAATCATGCAAAAAACAAGATGTGTTTCCCAACCATCCCAAACTTTGAGCAAGCACAAAAGGAAGTTAAAATTTTTCAAGAAGCACATTTCTCAAGAAGTTTTTTAATTCATTAGAACAATGAAAACTTTGTTCTTTACAATCTGCAAATGACTCTTGTGCCCAATGAATTTTAGACTTTTTAAGATTTGGGAAGTAATCTATGATAAATACTACACTTGAGGGAACAGATGATTGAGAAACATCAAGATACATCAGCCACATACAAGATGTGTCATGCAATTAGGGTTGCTAGATATCCAGCCACTACTTGAAGCCTGTTTTCTAAAAACAGGTATCTTTTTAACAATAATTATAGAGAATAAATATCTTATAAAATTAAAAGTAGATTATCATAATTTTCAAACCTGAAGACCTGTTCATACCGAACCTGGGTACCCTACGCAGTGCCTAAAGATCTTGCAACCCTACATGCAATATGATCATGCCTGCCTTACACATCAGTCCGACCACACTCAGTGGACACCAGGGCTCATGTTCTTCAGGCTTATTGGGGTCAGGAATGGGGAGCAACACCACTTCATTGGTCAAGACGAAACCACACACGAACAAAATTAAAATACCAAGAAGTGCATGGTACATGGTCATGAACAAACCAAATGTTAATAGGACAGAAGGAATAAGACAGGTAAGGATAATTTGATTCCAGAATGAATGTGTGTAAGAAAGGAAGAAAAGGAAAAAAAGATTACTATTAATGATTACAATCCCAAGCCATGGGCACAGCTGGTTACAATGGAATAGTACACTGTTAGCAAGGCCAAGAAAACATTCAGAAGTGTGTGACTTTTTACTTTATTTACTGTTCTTTCCCTGCGGTTTATTAACTACTTGTGTGATTATCAACATGCTATTAAGTAATTAAATAGGGCATATTTTGATAAGAAGAAACTGTGAACTGTACAGGAAACATTTTCCCTTCAATCAATAAGATTCAAATGTCAATAAGCATTTGTTACAAAGAGAGACAAAACAAGACGGCCAGAAGGGTCGCATACTTCTGAACTCTCACCACAAAGCAACAAGCTCAAGAATCAGGTTCAGACGCACGATTACCTCAGGAGCTGTGTGACAAATGAAACAGAGGAGAATGATATCTAGTCACACAACTGTTGAACGAGGCCTCTTCACACCAGGCACGGAACTTATCTATTGACTAAACAGGAACTCAACACCAACCCTCACTAACCTCCTCTCCAGGCCACAACAGAAGAGATGACATAAAAATGCAACTGAATATGCTACAAGAGTTTATTCTAAATAAAATCAATATAAAGACATAATAAAAGTGATATAATTCAAAGTGGTCATTTACTTGAGTAAAGCCATATAAAGTTAAAATTAAATTACATATGAATAAATTAAGTTCAAATCTTTTATTATTAAGAGTTTTAAAAGAGCATTTGTAATATCTTTTAGTAAACACATGAATTAGCCTTGTAAAGAGTAAATGATCACTTCTAAACATGTCTATCTAAAAGTAACCACACTTTCAATAAAACTACAAATAGAAATAATACAGAACAAAAACACTA